AAANAAAANAAAANAAAAANAAAAAAAAAAAGGTCACCCCAAGAGAGAGCGGAACATCTCCTCCAGAAGACCATCCGCGCGGCCCACTTGCTTAGCACCTTCCCTGCTCGCATCATCACCTACACCCGACTCGGTGCGTCGCTTGCCAGATCCGGACGGTGGATTCTTGCCTATCTACATCGTCCTACATCGTCGCCCCTCTCCTCCCCTCCCACATGCAGTCCCGAGTCTGCGTGCCTGCGTCCGCACCATCTGAGTTTTCGTCCTCCATTGTCTTGAACGGGTTCGTGGCCGCGTCTCAGCTACAAGCTTATAAGATTGTTCGAGATACGCCGCCACAGAGCCGGGAGCCCAACCGCCAATCAAGGCTAGCGGGGCAGAGACAAGGTCTCGGGAGGCAAAAGACGAGGCAACAAGGGAGAAAAAAAACAACGACATCGCTTGGCGGTGCTACTAGTCCCAGATCTCAGTCCACTCCCACCCTTCCCATTTGATAGCTGGGTGACCATCAATACTACCTACCCAGGATCCCACCAATGTCAGGTGCCTGCCACAGCTCCCCTGCGCTTGCGTGCGCACAGGGCAGCCGAACCGGCAAGACCCTGCTTGGCCCTTGGTCGCATTGTCTTTGTTTGTTTTCATGTCTGGTTCGGGAAGTGGTGTCAACACCCGCTCCCCCTCGGCCTGGCAGGTAGATTCGGCAAGCTGTCGTGATTGACCGTGGAGCCGAAGCAGTACCTGGGGTCTGACGAATGTTATTTCTGGTGGCGGACAAAGAGAGAATACAATCAGTGCTAGATTTCTGTTAGCACCCTGACTGTCCAGATCTTGGGGTACATCCACACCCACAACTGTCCACTGTTGTGAGTATGGTTTCGCATCTGGTCCCGGCTTTCCTTCTTGGGCGTCATCGTCTTCTTTCCCTGTCGCGACCGCACATCCGTCCTCCGACGGCGCAACACAGCACAGAGCTCCCAAAGCCGATGATGTGATTGGCGAGAATCAAGGGGTCCACAAGGGGTCCAAGCAGCCTTGCGCACCTTCTCCGCCTGCGCTCTCCAACGTAGCAACAACGCTGCTTATCCAACCACAGGCCCAACAACAAAAGCCGGGATGGGAGGGCACGGGCACGTGGCGCATGCACGCAAAATGATGGCATGGACTGTGACGTGACCCCCAAAGCTAAGTTGGTTGGGTCGTGGCTCTCGAGCCTCCTCCCCCGTCCTTGTGGTACTAACGTATCCCGGCACCACTGTGCCAAGCACATCGGCAACCCTTTGATCCCGGCGTGGGCTGATGATGCCGGGCTCTGGTGCTTAGACCACGAGCTATAATGCTGTGCTTGACTATCTTGGGCTCGCCTCTAGTACCTCGTGGGTTGGGACACGCATACGATCCGCGGAGTCTGCGTTGCCTCGACGTTAGCCCTGGGGCCAGGAGCACGATGCTGCCATGAGGAGTCCTTTTTACACAGCGACCCCATCGCGCCCAGCTACAACGCCACACCCCACTCCTCTCATTGAAAGGGACCCGGAATGTCAAGGCGTGCAGTAGCAGCAGCAGCCCGACATGTGCATACAGACAGACTCTCATCGGATACGCCCTTTTGGTTGCGTCGACGCTTGTCTGACGCCTGCGGCACTGCCATGTGCCATGTGTATCGCTCCGGGGTCGTGGTGATGGCATGGCCATTGACCTGACACCGGCGTCGACCTACTTTGGTATGCATCTCGGCATGTATCTGCCTGGGTGCCTAGAGTTTGCGGTCATTACTGGATATACCCTCACATCTAGTGCCGAATGTCCGGACAAGCCAGCCCGCCTCAATGGCTCGCCCGGACGAGCACCAGCCAAGGCGATCGCGCCTCCGTTGGTTCACTTGCCGGGCTGGGAGCAAACTAGAAGCAACGAGAAGGGATGGAAGCAGACCGGCTGTAATTTCGTTTCATCATTTCTTGAAGCGCGCCACCTCCCTTCTATCCTTTTCATCTTCTATTTCCGACCGTCTTGTCGTTCAGTAGCTTCTCAAGCTACTGTTCCAGCACAGTCTAAACCGAACTCATTATCGTTCGATGATGCCGTACCGTCCCTTTGGTGGCTTCTTGCTTTTTCTAGGTACTTCTGGCGCTTTGGTCTCGTCCAGCCTGGGCTTAGCGCGACATGCCAATGTCTCGGAGGCGGCGGAGCTTTGCAACTGGGTACGATACTGGCGTGTTTTCTGATGCGAAAGACACACGCAGGGCGGCCTCAAGAGGGGTTCTATCTGCGCAAAACACTGAATTGCGCCATCATCAAGAGGTAGCAGCGAGGCAGACTAACAGTGCTACTCCGTGCCCCTGCTCTCCCACAGCCCTCCATCCGTCCGAATGAAGGGAGCCGCATGCCCACACAAGGGCCTTGCTCTGGGCTTGCGATTGCCGAGTCAAACGTGGGCTGGGGGACGCCGACTTGTGTCCACGCTAAGAGCGAGCGAAGTTAGCTGGTCGAGTCAAGCAGAGACATGATTGCGTGTGGGGTGGGACCTGGCTGGGTTCCGTCGGTACGTGGGGGGGAGTGTGGCGATGCCTTTGGAGGAGGAGGAGGAGGTGGAGGAGGTGGAGGAGGTGGAGGAGGGGGGCAAAGAAGATGGGGGAGATGAGATGAGGGTGGAAAGACGGGGATGAGTAAAAGGGAAAATACTCTACTCGGGCGCGATGAGGACGTAATGGGGGGGATGGGTGGCTATCAGAGACGAATGACAAAAAGCTGACAAGGCGCGATGAGACGCGAGGTTGAGAAACAAGAGACAGACCCGGATATCCCAGCCGCCCTTTGAAACCAAAGCCGGCTTCCCGGCCCGTGTGCTCTGTGAGGAGCGAGGAGAAAGCCGCGTCACTGGTGTTTGGAACTTGCGGAAACATCTAGACTGCGGCATCGCCATGGGCGTGTAGTGGCCGTCTCCAGCGCTATGACACAGGGAATGCTTGGGCCCTTGGGCAGATCAGGCCCCATATGCTCGCATCCCAGAAGCACATGGGGGAAAAAAAAACCAGGAAGACACGGGGAGCAGTATAAAGAGAGACCGGAGAATCTGTGCACATCATCGTCTCAGATCTTGTGGGGAAGCAAGTGCCATTACGGTATAGTAGCCTATCATAAGGCAAAGTCAACTCATGCAGCCCCCTCTCTCACCCTCTCTGCATTTTGGCGGCATGGCAACCCCCGAAACGACAAGTGCGAGGGATGATGGGCTCAAAGGGATCTCAAGTCATCTGACGCAAAAAACTAGATCGGGCATGCCGATGCAAGGTGGGACCAGGGATAAGGCCAGGTTGGGCGTTCTAATGACCGATCTCTTTTTTTTCTTTTTCTTCACATGGATAATGCTTCGTCACCACCCTCCCGTCATGACGCAGCCGTCTTCATGGTCTGGCCGCCCCCCTTGACCCGCCTTAGCACGTGAAGGCGCGGCGCCATCCTGGGCCCAACCCACCAGCCGCCCGTCACCCGCCTCACCCGCGCCCTGACGTCCCTGACCGTCCTGCCCCTCCCCACGACCCTGCCGGCGGCGGATGAAGCGCCATCCTCCACGTCGTCGTCGTCGTCGTCGTCGTCGTCAGCCCGGCTCCCGGGCCGCAGCACCTCGACGCCCGCGTAGCCCTGCACGACGCCGACCACCTCCCACCGGCCGCCGCGCGCCTCCTCGGGATCCTCGACGATGAGGTAGTCGAACACCTCCCAGAACGCCGGTCTTGCCAGCGCGGCGCGGTCCTCCGTCTTGTCCAGCGCCAGCGCCACGCTGCCGCCCGATCCGGCGGCGGTGGCGGCCGGGGAACCGCCGATGACCTCGTCGCCGCCATCGCCGCCAACGCCTCTGCTGCTGCTGCTGCTGCTGCCTACCACGTGGTACGCCGGCAGGACCTCGGCGCCCGCGACGGGGGCCGTCGTGCCGAAGAGCGTCACGCCCGTCATGCAGGCCAGCACGCACGCGTGCACGGGCACCGTCACGAGGCCCGGCGCCGCCGCCCCGACACCGCCCATCAGCCCGGCCGAGGCGGCGGCGGCGTGCGCGCGCACAAAGTCGAGCGCCTCGCCGCCCGGGTAGTTGAGTGACGAGAGCAGCAGCATGCCCGTGCTTGCGGCGAGGCAAGCGAGCGCCGACAGCC